TCCTCCCCTCTCTTCTCCTGCCCTTCCCTTCCCTCCCCTCCCTTTCCTCCCCTCCCTGGAATCTTTCTTAACTCATTAAAGACGAATGGAATGCATAATTAGTAATGGAAACACGAACATCTAAACTGAACAGGCTTTAAGGAGAACATATGCATATTGGCTAATGCTACATCCACATCACAGATTTCACAAATTTCACAGAATATTCTGAGTTGGAGGGGACCTGCAGTTCACCTACTAAATGTCCCCCTAGCAAGTCAGGATTAGTTATATTTTATGTCCATGTCATAAACATAACAAATATACTACTGTGTTCATAACAGCAGTTAAATATTATTCCTTATTATTAAAGAAGTCCCATAGCTATGTGATAATCTCATTGGAAACTGTTATTACAGTAGACAGGAACTTGCATGACCCCTACTGGGTTATCTTTTCCAAACTCTGTAGGTGAACCTTGTAATCTATGAAGTCCTTTCCAGAGGTGAATAATTAAATTCTTACAATCGTGCAAGTTCTTACAATAAGAAAGAAATTCTTATTTTCATTCCCTGTCCTGTTACCTGGAAAAGTAACCAAAGCATGCTGGATTCCAATTGGCATTTTTACTCCCAGTTGCAAGTTGTTTGTCTGAGTGCACAGAAATTCCTGCAAATCTTGTCACACTGTTGAAATGAGACATTCATTGACTTCAAGAGGATCTTATTTTTAAAATTTAGGTATTTTCTTAAAGAAGACTATAACCGTTTAGTGAGAAAATACTTTTCTTTGCCTAAACACAAGTTACATGTGAAATGTAGGGCTGCCTTATTATTTGATAAACTACTTCTTACATACAGATACCAATTTCATGAAACAGTGAGGAAGGGAGGATTTAACCCATAATTTTTGAGGCACACTGTCAAATGATATCAATTCCCACTTGTTCAAAATACGTGTTTACATTCAGTTATTTAAATTATTACTCATATCTTAGCAGAATACTGAAAGATAGAGAGTAAGTTTTGACTTCACCCGCAAAAAATTCAGCAGAAGGATGTCTGGATCCAGTAGAGATATGAGTTGGGACGAGAGGGAAGGAGAGAGCTCGTAGGGACAGTACAGACTGTCCACTGCCAACTAGTGTAGACTCCACAAGGCTGCAGCAAGCTAAAATGCTGGAGCTGTGCAAACAGGCAATGCTGCCATACTATTGATCTTCTTCCTCTCTTGCTCCCTCTCCACAGTTTCCAACCCCAAAGAAATCTGTATCATGCAACAGGACGGCAATAAGTTTACCTGTACAGGCCGGGTGATAAATGGAGCTGCATCAGCAGCCCTCCTTTACACTAGCAGAAAAGAGAGGCTGCAGCTGCCTTCTCCTGTTAGACACTGCATCCAGGTTTTGTGGCATGATGGGTAGACAGATCTGTTTCCAGACACTTTTCTGTATCCCTTCTGGGGATGAGAAGTTACTGCACCATCCATTTACCTCTGAGAAGCAAAATATGGCTCTTAGTAAGATCAGGATACTGTATCTCTCTACAAGGGTACTTCTAATGAAAATACACCCCCTAAGGCCCTAGCAGTAGCAAAGTATGTGCTGGTATATGGCTGACATATTTTCTGCTTAGTTATAAAAAGAATAGCTTTAATTTACCTTATAAAAATGCAAAAGGAATCTACTCTAAAAGGGAAAAGTAGTTTTATTAATTCAGTGCTTCTCTCGTCACTCCTTAGTAAAAATGTACATATTATAATAAAACAGATACAGTTACACAATGAAAAAAAAATAACCTAATGGCTCTTAATAAAATTCCAGTTAAAGCAAGCAACTGGTTTTTCAAGGACTCAGATCTACACTGGAAAAAGACTAAGGAATGACTACACCTAAATAAGGCTTTTACTGCTAAGAACAGCTACATTAGGGCTCATCAATCAATCATAATATTCACATTCATGTAATAAAGACTTCTTTATGTAGAAGTTTAGTCACCTCACAGACAGACTGGTACCGGCATTTGCGTGTAACTAATCCTCTCTTCCAAAAAATGATTTCTTCAGGCAAAGCCCCATGAAGACACTTAATGAAAGAGTGAATTCTTATTTACTTAAAAGTAAGAACTAGAAAGAACAATGCAAATCAGAGGAAGAGCTGTTTTCTGGAAATCTAGTAGACCTGTTAGTTTTAAAAGATTTTGTAGGACTCTCAGGGGTAGCCAGAGGAGAGAAGAGCAGGTATACAGGCAGATAAAGCAGACACAAAGCAACCGCCTCTATATCCTGCTGGTGAAAGCCTTCGGCTTTGGCACACAGTGTTTTCATCTTTCTGTGCACTGCGGGCTCCCTCAATGAGACTGAACTGCCCGGGGCACTGGTGGCTAGCCTGTTGTTTCTAAACTGGTTTGCCAGTTTGTTGGTTCAAATATAGCCTCAGAAATTAAAGTCATGGCCTGTGTGAAATGAGCTGGTAGTAGCCATCAATTACCCAGTGGAGAGATCATCCCGGACAGCTCAAATCACGCCCTTGTTGACAGCTGAGATGAGAAGCAAGGGAGCAAATGTTTTCATGTACTGAGCTGCATTCTCCTCCCCAGGGACAGAGTCTTAGGTTTGAAGCATAACATGGAAATTTTGGGGCTTCTAGATTATCCCTTCTATTTATAATGTTTAGCTTCTCTTCAGCTATAATAAATGAATTCAGTTTTGAAAGAGAAAACAAACTGAAGCTGTAGGATTATAGTGGAATATTAGGCAAAGCCTTGTAAGCATTCCCCAGCAAGATAGCAATAGTAAAGCTGTAGCACTCTCTCTTCTCTTCCAAACCTATCCACCAAACTTGGGGAAAATGGCTCAAGATACTAAGGTACATGCAGAAGCACAGCTTTTGTACATCCTCGAGAAAACTAAAGGGCTAAAGCAATAGTTCATTTAGTTTGGGTGAATTTAAAGCTAGATCCAGTGAAGAACTAGAGAACTAAATACTAGATGCAAAATGAATTGCATCTTTCCAACTTAAAGCACAGGCAGATAGTGAGAATCTCCACATGCTGACCCACACAGGCATATGGTTCAATGCCTCTGCACTGAGTGCCTGATGCACTGTGGAGAAGATTCAATGCAGGAGTCACAACTCCACTAGGCAGCAGAGCTCTGAAAACACAGCTGCTACAACACTGTAGATTTTTAGGTGGGTCACTGTTACCATCTCTATACCTTGATTAAACAAAAATCTGATTTCATCTAGAAATACACCAACAAGTTCTTAACTAAAAAGTTATGAATGTGTAAATTCAGTTTGCCTCTAAACAACTTCATCTATTTCATGTATTTCAAAATGTTGTTGCTTTGTTAACTCTTATGATTACAATTCTTGCAATAAACAGAATTTCTGTATATGTGGGGATCCAGTGTACATCCAGTGGGGATGCAGAAACAACTAGCAAGATGTTTCCCAAAGCAAAAATGAATTAACTAACAGATGCATATTTTGAGGATAGGCTATTTGATTTTTGTATTTTTATATAAATCTGAAATAAGTTTTTAAATTATCGTACCTCTCATAGAATCATACGATTGTGCAAGTTGGAAGGAATCCTGAAAGATCACCTGCTCCAACCTTCTGCGGTAAAGGGACCCTAGATGAGATTATTATCTGGCACACTGTCCAACTGCATCTTGAAAACCTGCAGCGATGGGGACTCCATCACACCCCTGGGAAGGTTGTTCTGGTCAATGATCATTCTTAGTGTAAAAAAAATATTTCTTATATTGCTTTGGAGCTTCATCACAGAGTGTGTCTTTCTAATCTAATTCTTTGAGGTGTCCAGAGAACATGTGTTATATCTCGGGTAGGCCTAGAGTCTGCAATCTGTGCAGGCTGGTGACAAGCTGGCTGAATGGGACTTGTTATCCACATTTATTCCCTCCAAAGAAAAATTAAATTCTTAAGCAAGGGCTGAACAGATGCAGAGCCTACAAGCATACTGGAGCAGTGAGGGCACTTAGCGCAAGACAGAGTCCACCTGGAGCCTTGATGCAAGACTGTAGAACTCATGCCCCAATGGACTGCAACTACTGAGGAACTCCACTTTTTAAAAAAATCCAGATTGATTATTTATTTTCTGCTTTTTCCTCCTTTGCCTCCCCCCTTCCTCCAGGGATTCAAACACTAGAAATCTGTATTGTATAACACTCACAAAAACAAAAACATTGACAGGGGTTCTTCCAAAGTAACAGCTGGAAAAATGAAATGCACGCATATGCCTGCAGTTTTGTGCCACATAAAATACTTGCGGAAGAAACTTGGATGTGTGCTGTAACTGAATGTATGTGTCAGGTAACAGCATACAGAAATAACACTAAGGAGTGTAAAAATGAGGTGACATAGGGACTTCATACAGAGGAGCAGTTACAGTGGATTAGTTAAACTCATTCAAGAACAACCTACTGGAAGTCATTGCTGGCACCTAATCTGGGATGTACTTAGGCCAACCTACTGGAAAACTGCGAGCTGAATCAGTTTTTGTGAGTGTTAAATCACCTCATATATGGGGAGCTAGGGGGTTGATTGCACAGCCTCACCTAACCCAGAAGCCTCCATCCTTCAAGGAAGATATCACTGAAGCTGGACCGCTTTTCTCCTGGAAGTGCTGTACAAAAAGCGTGTAAGACGGGCCCGGGCATCTCGGGGATACGGGCCTGAGACGGGGCCGATTACCGCGGTCCCAGCGCTGCGGCTCTGGGCTTCGCCACCCTCCGGCCCCTCCGGCAGCGGTGCTGGCACCGTCCTCCCCCGCGGTTGGACACCCGCCCACCGGGATGGGCGAGCGCTTCCAGGCGGCTCAGGGAACTGCTTGTCCCCCGCCCTCCAACAGATGGAGGATGCCGAGGTCAGCCCTGGCCCCCGTCACGTTTCCTCCGGCAGGCCCGGGGGAGGGCCGTGGGCGCGGGTACGGCGGCGGCCAGTCTGAGCCGGGGCCGAACGCCACCAGAGCGGCCGGGCACCCCGCGCCGCCGGCATGAGGGGGGCTAGGCCCTGGTGCCTGCTCTTGGCCGCGGCCTGCGCCCTGAGCCGGCCCCCGCCGCCGCCACGGGCCGCGGTGCGCTGCTCGCCCGCCGGCACCTGCTTCAGTGCCCACCTCGACAACGCCTCCTACCCTGCGGCCAGCGGCGCCTGCGGCCAGCGGCAGGGCGGCCTCGCCTGGGTCAGCGGCGAGCCGGAGCTGCGCCTGCTGCTGGGGCTGTTGGCAGAGGCGGCGGCGCCCACGCTGCTCTGGGTCGGGCTGAAGAGGAACGCCTCCGTCTGTACCCACGCGGAGCATCCGCTCCGCGGCTTCGCCTGGGAGGGCGTCGGAGGCGGTACGGCCCCGCAGGACGTGCCGGAGGCGCTCGGCCGCTGGGTGAAGGAGCCCGTGCGGTCTTGCCTCACTGCACGCTGCGCTGGGCTGCACCTGGCGGCAGTCCCCGAGAGCAACCCCAGCTGGGGCTGGGAGGAGCGGGTCTGCCATCGGGAGAGCCCAGGCTACGTCTGCAAGTACCACTACGAGGGCGCCTGCCCCGACCTCAGCCCTGCGGGCGCTCTTGACCTTGACTACCGCCTCCCGTTCGAGGAGGGGAGCCCCGGCCCCGGCTTCAGCCCGCCGGGCACTGTGCTGACCGTGACGTGCCCCGGCGGGGAGGTGCAGCTCACGTGCCAATCCGATCCGGGCGGTTTCGCCTGGAAGGTGGCAGAGGAGCCCCTCTGCCCCTGCCCCTTGGGCCGCCGGAGCCCCGGCAGCGGGCGGTGCGCCGAGGCCGCCGGGTGCCGCGATGCCGCCGGCGGCTTCGCCTGTGCCTGCACCCCGGGCGGGCGGGACGGGACTCTCTGCCCGGGCACGGGGGCGGCCCCCACTGCCGCAGGCGGCCCCGCGGAGTCTCCGGGTGCCGGAGCGGAGGGGTGGCCTCCCTTCATCCCGACACACGGTAGTTCCGCGGGGCTGCCTGCCGCTACCACCGCGGTCGCCGGCGGACAGAAGACGGCTGCTCCGCTGCCCTCCTCCTCCAACTACGTTTTCGTCCTGGTGACGGTCGCGGTGGTGGTGCTGGTCATCATGGTCATGACCGTCCTGGGGGTGTTCAACATCTGCTTCAACAAGAAATGCGAGGGCCGTGGGGACAAGGAGTCGCCCGAAGCTGGCAGCAAGGCGGAGGCGGGTTCCGCGGAGCCGAGCGGAGCAGCGGGCGGTGACTAGTCCCAGGCGGCCGGGGCCGCGTCCCTCGGGGCTGCCCCGAGCGGCAGCTCCCGCTCCGGGCCAGCGCTCGTCTGCACGCGTCTCTCCTGCCGCGGGGAGCCGAGGGAGAGGTGCCATGGGACTTGGCTGGGCAGGACTTGCAGATTGTCAGACGCGGGGGCACTTTTTGAGGGGTTTGAAGCTTTTGGACAGTCAAGAGTTTTTGTCGGTCCGAAAAACAGTTATTTAGGTGCTGACATAAGTAAAATATAAATACATCATCCTGGCCGACAGAGTGATTGCTGCTGCAACAGTTGTGGGGTTTTATCCTCTCAAACCCTCTTCGTTGAGTGCCTTACGTAGAGCAAGCATAAAGGGTACCACTTTGAGCACTTGCATCTTGTAATTTAGAAGTCACTCCTTGCCTGAGTGGTACTTGGAGGCTATAATTTTCTTTCTAATTGCTGAAACGTTTGCAAAGGTGAACTGCCATAATTTTGGATGAAACTGTGACCCATACTCTTTCATACTTGCATTCTTAAAAATGAGAGAGCATTTCTATACTTAGAAGATTATTAAATTGCTGAGGAAGTGGGAGGTTAATGAGGAGTCAATTTCATAATTCAGCTAATGAAAAGCATAAAGGATGATGTAAAAGCTAAATCACTGCTCTGTTTTTTACTCCATACAATATGACTTTTTATTGTAGCAGAGGACAAAGTTTTTCTCCTAAGGTGTGTTGGCGCAAAATTTGCTTTCTGTGTGCATTATGTTGCTCCCTTACAATCAGACAAGGTGCTGACACACCACACTGTGAGAGGAATTAACGTGAGTCTAAATGCATCATGCAAATCTCATTCTTTTTAGTCAGATATATTATTTTCCATGGTGTCCCTTGAGAGTAAGGAAAGAAATATTCACCATTTGTGCCCCTTGCTAAATGAGGTAAACACTTCCTCTGTGATTTCCCTTGGGAATTCCTGTAGAGGAGCTTTCATCCTGACCACAGAACTTGCTTTCTTTGCAGTTCAGAGTGCTGATGCTCACTCCTTATTGTTATGGTGTTGTTTTTCAATTAAAGTGGTAATGCTAAATATTGATTCAAGGTTTTCTGAGTGCAGTAAGACACAACTAACTGGATCCATCCAAGTCTTTTGGTGTGCAGGGAGGGTAGGGAAATTATTGATTCATAACCGTGATTCAGTGGTCTGCAAGGCAGATTCAGTGCAGGGTTTGCTGTTTACATCCATAGGAGGAGAATAACTAAGGTCATAATGAGTACAGATAATCATAACAAGGACTGAGATAATAAAAGTGTCTGGTTATGAAATTGGATGCAACTTTCTTTTAATTCCTTACTGTAATGCCACAATCAAATGTAAATATTTTTCCAAAACGTACCAGAGATGGAGATAAATCTTGACCTTTTCCCTTATATTACATACATGTCCTTTGACTCAGCATATTATATTGCAACTGTTTTTCTAGTATAGGAAAAACATTATGTCACCCCATATTAAAGCCATATAAATCACATAGAAACTTTGTATCTGTGAGTTTTAGAATGAATACGTTTTTATGGAGGATTTAGAATAATTTAGTCATTTCAATTCTAGTGATGAGGTGGAATTTTTTAAAAATTGTTAATTCCCTGGTGTAACGCATAGTGTTGTAGACTAGTAGACTGGATGTAATAACACCATGGTAATGAAATGGTGAGTGCAAGAATCTGTGAGTCCACATTTTAAAATAGTAGTTTCTGCAAAGAATAGGAATGTCCACAACTCTTGTCTATTGCAGTTACCTGAAAAGTGTCCCATGTTGCCAATTATTAAATCTAATTTTTAGATTTCCTTAATTCCTCCAAAGATAGTTTGACTGGTAGACACATCATTTGTCAGCTGCACATTTTATTTATGAACATGTGATGAATTTTTAATGGTTTGTATTCATCAAATACAAATATGTTGTATTCATCAAATAAACAGAAATAAAATTTTAATTTCCTCACATTTTTTAAAATATTATTTTATACTACTGAGGGCTTAATTAAATGTGCTGCGGGATTAAAGTGAAATCTGAAAGTGGACATGGACAAAATTCAAGTACTTCAGATAACTTTTTTCCTGTTTTAAGTGTAGTATATAGCTTAAAGATGATTAAAAAAATTAATGGATTCTGTGCTTCCCCCAGGAAGTGTAATTTCCTATCACTTAATTTTTTTGTGTGTTTTCAGTCCCGATATGTCTTTCCTCATTTATTACATGGAGTTCAGTCAGTGGTAGATGCAGTTCAGTTCCTTCTAGAAATACTATTTTCTATTTCTTCAGTATGCGGACATTTATGGAGGCTGTACAGTGGTGATTCATATATTTCACTAATGATATATAACTGACTTGAAAGGCAAACACAGCTGCGCAGCAGCAGTAACCACTCTCCCAGGGCTTCAAACCAGATTAAACTTCCTGTATTTCCTTCTTCCCCCCAATATGCAGCCTTGCCTTTCTCCTCTGGACTTATAGTCTGGAACTGGAAGACTGGAAACTGGATGTGAAAAGGGAGTCCTCTGTTGGCAAGCAAGTCTTTTTCCTTTTCTGTATTGCTGACTAGAATTATAGAATCAGAGGATAGTTTGGGACTGAAGGGACCTTGAAGATCATCTACTTCCAATCTTTCCACTAGACCAGGTTGCTCAGACCCCCATTCAACGTGGCCTTTAACACTTCCAGGGATGGGGCATCTACAGCTTCTCTGGGCAAACTGGTCCAGTGTCTCACCACCTTCGCAGTAAAGAATTTCTTCCTATTATCTGATCCAAGCCTACCCTCTTTCAGTTTGAAGCCATTCCCCCCCCATTCACTACATGCCCTAGTAAAATGTTCTTCTTCAGCTTTCCTGTAGGTATTGGAAGGCTTCTATAAGGTCTCCCTGGAACCTTCTCCAGGCTGAACAACCCCAACTATCACAGCCTGTCTTCGTAGGAGAGGTGCTCCAGCCCTGTGATCATCTCTGTGGGCTTCTCTGGACTCGCTCCAGCAGGTCCACAGTATTCTTAGTTGAAGGCCGCAGAGCAGAACACAGTACTCTAGGTGGGGGCTCCTTCACTGTAGGCAGCAGTGAAACTGGGGAAGGCAGAGACATAGTGGTGGTCCTGCATGTATTGTCCTTTCCCTCCTCCTACCTGTCAGTCCTTATGCATTTTGAGTCAGAATGCTGGGAAAACAATACTATTATGTATTTTACGGATAATGTAAGTAGCAAGAAGCCTGCAGGTCCAGGAAGAGGATGAGCTGAGGAGGGAGAGATAAGAAAGACAGGCATCTTTACCGAGATGTATCCATCCTAACCATCCTCTTGCTACATATTTTTTCAGGTGTTACTCAAAATGTGGTGGTTTGTAAACAAATGAACATTTTCAGTCATTAAGCCAGGAACAGCACATAGGCTGTAACATGTCAGAAAAGCATGGTTTTGTTTTTGGAATGTAACCAGCAGGGCTTGTGTTTTGGACTGATAAGAATGGTATACACTGTTCCCCGGAACATAACATGGGAGCATAAATACAGATAGTTTGAGTGAGATTAAAAGTTATCTAAATTTGTGATGTCTCCATCACAACACCAGATGCTTTAGAAAATAGAATAGGAAATCTCACATCTGTAAGTGACACTTCTCCTGGGTACTCTAAGGTTGAAAGACTTTGAGTTGAAGAGTGAGTTCATGTCACACTTGGTACATTTCCATCAATTTGTCTAACAGAATTTGGATTTGATTTATTAGTTTTGGCATCCAACCATCCTGTATCAATTCCGCAATTTATTTACATGTCACATCAAAAAGTAGACCAGTTCATCGTCTTGATTTCCCATACCTTTGCCATACAGTCCTTTATTCATCTCTATCGCAAGTTGAGAAGTCTATTTAGTTTCTTCTTTTCCAGAAATAAGTCTATGGAACTAAATGTTTTCTTATCCTTTTTTTGCAGCTCTTTGTATACTATTAGATTCCTTGTAAAATCTGTATTTAGAAACTTTTGGAGATGTTGGTGCAGTATAGTTTTCTATGATGGCTTAACAGTATTTTCTGGTTTTTAGAAGTTTAAAACATAACCATTTTCTTGTTTGGACAATTTCAGAGAACTGTGTTGATATTTTATAAGATTTTTTTTCCAAATAATTTATAAGAAATTTGACCTGGACAGTTCCTAGGAGAGAGCCCTGAGGGCCTTCAGCAGGTCTCCTCACAGTGAAAAGAAAAAAAATAGTCTATAATAAACAGAGGCAATAAGATTTCATGGCTTTTTCTGCATGGTTCTTTCTTCCAGAAACACTCCGAAATACAATCATCACTCATCAGCAGCAAGTACGGTGGTTGGTTTCCTGCTCTACTGGATTTAGCATTGGTAGTTGCTATGTATTTATACAATCGTTCCTCAAATAATCGGTTTTCGCCCTGCTTTAAAATGCTATTGTTTATTTGCTAAAGTTCACCTTTTGTTCTGTTTTTGTTATTTGCACATGGCTTCAACTTTAAATTACGTCCTTTTCTGTCATATATTGTTTAACCTTTTAGACTTTTTGAGGGGAAAGAGCTCTTCTAATATCTTCTTTTGATAGGTAATAAATGTTTAATCTGAACCTGTAATATCAGTAAATAGTCCTGGTGCCACCTGCAAGCTTTTACCCTTTAGCTGCTCCTTTTATTTCTTTTTATCATCCTTCTTAATTTATATACAGACTCCCTTCTTCGAAATTAAACATTAGCATAGTGAATGTTTTTAGCTTTTTTACTCAAAATTGTTCCTTTTTTGTGCGCTGTAGTCAGCCAAATAATGTCCATTTTTAAAGACAAAATTAGAATCTGTTTCTTATGTCTGGGTTATCTTACTAGTTGTGCCAAGAATAAATTATTAAAGATATCTGGAAATTTATTCACTCCGTCATGATAGCGGTCCACGAAAAAAATGTTTTGTTGTTTGTTGCACTGAGTTTGTGTGGCAGGGTTTTGGTATTGGGGCAGCTACAGGTGAGGCTTCTGTGAGAAGCTGCTAGAAGATTCCCCCATCTCCAACAGAGCTAACTGCTGGCTGTGGCCAAGCCATCAATCACTGGCAGTGGTAGCAGCTATTTAAGAAGGGAGGAAAAAGCTTCACAGAAGCAATTGCAGCCAAGAGAAGTGAGAATAATGAGAGAAACAACTCTGCAGACACCAAGGTTAGTGAAGAAGGAGGGGGAGAAAGTGCTCCATGTACTGGAGCAGAGATTTTCCTGCAGCTTGTGAGCTAGGCTGTCCCCTTGCAGCCCATGGAGGTCCATGTGGAACAGATATCCACCTGCAGCCCACGGAGGAGCCCATCCTAGAGCAGGTGCTCTGTGAACCTGTGGAGAGAGGAGCCCATGCTTAGCAGTGTTGCTGGCAGGACTTTTGACCTCATGGGGGACCCATGCTGGAGCAGTCTGTTCCTGAAGGAAGAAACAGAACCCCATGGGAAGGACCCACACTGGAGCAATTTGTGAAGAACTTCAACCCAATACTTTTGTGTTTAAATTCTTCCCTCTCTGAGCAAGTAATGAATAGTGTGTAAGCAGTGCATGCAGCTTTTTGTCAGTACACAAGCCTCCTAGATTTCATGGCAATAACCTTCCCAACTCTGCAGTGTTACTGGTGGCACTGCAAGTGAATTGATTCCCTTTCAATTATACCGAACCACTGAGATGGTGATGCAGATTCCGGTCCACTTGAAGCAATTCTAATATCCTAAGAGAATAAGTAATTATAAGAACACATGCATTAGTCTTCCTAAGTAAAACAAGCTTGGTTTTCATTCTTCTGTAAATTCTGAAGCTTAAAGGAATATGAAGATAATATACAACATGAGCATCCACCTATTAATATTATACAATGTGCATTATGGTCAGTTCTCCCCTATGGGGTTTATGACATTATATTACTAGATATCCAAAACTTTTACATCACAAGTTCTCTTTTACTTACCTCTACTTCTGACATGTACTAACGAGGAAGATTTCATTACTTTCAGATAAATTGACCTCACTCATGCTGTTAATATCCGCTGCAATTCTGTAAATCCAGTTTAGATCTCTTACAAGAATTTCCTATTGGTTTGCCATTTAAAGTTAACTTTGCTGCAGTAAAAGACAAGGACTTAGGTTTAAATGCATAGTGTTCTTTAAAAAATTAAAATTTAATGTAAGCATATATTGTTATACATTTATAGAGAATATTTTTTCTTAGTAAAATTTGAGATTGTAGGAATAGTTTCTTGGAGCAAAATTCTGTCTGGTCAGGAGAAGACTTTCTTTGGACTTTAAAATCTATTTCAGTGCAAATACGACGGAGGTATTTTTGTACAAATATTAATGTATCAGGAAATTTTTTTCCCTGCTTATGGAGTTTATTTTCTTGCTTATTTTGAATTAGCTCTCAGTTCTAATGAAAAGTTCTTGAATGAGTACACTGAAACTTTCAATCCTCCATAGATTAGGTTTTGGCAACGTAACCCTATGCCTTCATGCTAAGCTAAGTTCAGAGTTTCAAGGTCCATGGAGAGGAATGCATGAACATTCCTTTTCATTCTTGAGAGTTTGGGTTTTTTTCTCTTATGGAAAATAGTTTTCCAAGTCATTGCACTGAAGATGCTTTTGAAGTAAGAAAGTCTGTAAATTTTACTTTATGACATTGAAAGAGCAGTGAAAATGCTTCTGTATTCCATTTCTTTCTTGTCAATATGGTTGGTGTTGAGCAAAAATTTCTTAGGTCTTTTTCTCTGTTTTAATGATAAAAGGAAGAAAAATCCATGATATTCAAGGCATTTGAAAAATCCAAAATAAATTAACATTCAAAAAAATATATTATTTCTCTATTTCTGCTTTGTTTTCCGGTGTTTCTAGTAATCCCAAAAATTACTTAAATTATTATTTAATTCTTAGAGAAAATGCTTATATACTTTCTAACCTTCAGAAAGAACAGCCAGCTTTGAAAATAGCAGCTGACATAAAAAGCAGAACTTCATATTTTTTAGTGAGTTGGGAGTTTATGTATTTGTTGTACCCTACACAATGAAATTAATTATGT